GCAGCCTTGGAAACGAGCAAACAAACTGGGTCAGAGATTGCAGATTCCACACAACCTAAAAAGCCTTAATATCCATCTAAAAATCTCTATGAACGAGAGCATATCAAAACGCAGATAAATCAACTCATTAACTTAGTCTGCAAGTCTCCTCGGCTTTCGTTGTCAATTGCGCTCGTTCCTGTTGTAAATGGTTAACTTTTTTTGTCACCTTTTAAGCAATTTAATGTTGAATAAAAGTATCTATTTCTTTATAAAAAAAATATATATCTAACTGGTCCCAAAATTGTAATGGTAGAGTGTGTATCATTGCCAGACAACAAGGGCATATTCATATATTTTTTTTACTACTACTCCCTGTGCCATGTCTATTTTTAACTTTTGTTGCACTTCCTCTATCTATCTAGATTGTGGGATGATGGAATCATTGACCCTGCCGACACTCGCCTTGTCCTGGGCTTGAGTCTGAGTGCTGCTCTCAACGCCCCCACACAAAAAACTCGCTTTGGTGTCTTCAGAATGTAAATCTGGTTTTGTAAAGATTAGACATTTAGAATTAAATCAATTTCCTCTGTCTTTTGGGCAGTACACACTAACTTTATAAACTTTTGTCTTTGTATGTTTGACAACAGTAAAATCTGTAAAGCCAACAATTGAGTGTTGTGTATTGTATGCTCTAAGATTTTCTTGTTGTTTTGTACTCTTGATATGTAGGACAGTACATCACATAATACTGGCTGGTGTAAGAACAGAAAAGTAAGCAAATGTTCTGTATGGTTTTAAGGTAGAGACATTAAAGGAGAACTCCGGCGCAAAATGAACCTTTGGTCTAATAAAACATTGGTACCTAGTCAACCGTTCTCTGAGATTTGTTTTCATGATAATCGAATGTAAAGAGTTTTATCTCTAAAAACTGTTTAGCGTATAACGCTAGTAATGGGGGCATCTATTAAGTAAAAAGAAATCACTAGTTTATACCACTAACAAGACTCAAAATAGCCCCACACTAACACAGTAACATAATGAGGGTCCCTACATGCAAAACGAAGCATTGAGAACTTTGTAAGTGTACAGACCGTTTAATAAGAAGATATTTTATGAAGACAGTCCACTTCGTGTATACAGACAGGAGCCATCTTTGGAAAACAGTCTCGACTAATCAAACCACGAACGCCATTCAAACAGTTCAGAAGTTCACTGAACTTCATACAGTTCAGCTCACTTAGCACGTCGTTCGTGGTTTGACTACAGGTCCTTCTAAAAAAATTAGCATATTGTGATTAAGTTCATTATTTTCCATAATGTAATCGTACAAATTAAACTTTCATATATTTTAGATTCATTGCACACCAACTGAAATATTTCAGGTCTTTTATTGTTTTAATACTGATGATTTTGGCATACAGCTCATGAAAACCCAAAATTCCTGTCTCAAAAAATTAGCATATTTCATCCGACCAATAAAAGAAGTGTTTTTAATACAAAAAAAAAGTCAACCTTCAAATAATTATGTTCAGTTATGCACTCAATAGTCAATACTTGGTCGGGAATCCTTTTGCAGAAATAACTGCTTCAATGCGGCGTGGCATGGAGGCAATCAGCCTGTGGCACTGCTGAGGTGTTATGGAGGCCCAGGATGCTTCGATAGCGGCCTTAAGCTCATCCAGAGTGTTGGGTCTTGCGTCTCTCAACTTTCTCTTCACAATATCCCACAGATTCTCTATGGGGTTCAGGTCAGGAGAGCTGGCAGGCCAATTGAGCACAGTAATACCATGGTCAGTAAACCATTTACCAGTGGTTTTGGCACTGTGAGCAGGTGCCAGGTCGTGCTGAAAAATGAAATCTTCATCTCCATAAAGCTTTTCAGCAGATGGAAGCATGAAGTGCTCCAAAATCTCCTGATAGCTAGCTGCATTGACCCTGCCTTTGATAAAACAGTGGACCAACACCAGCAGCTGACATGGCACCCCAGACCATCACTGACTGTGGGTACTTGACACTGGACTTCAGGCATTTTGGCATTTCCTTCTCCCCAGTCTTCCTCCAGACTCTGGCACCTTGATTTCCGAATGACATGCAAAACTGAGCAACAGTCCAGTGCTGCTTCTCTGTAGCCCAGGTCAGGCCCTTCTGCCGCTGTTTCTGGTTCAAAAGTGGCTTGACCTGGGGAATGCGGCACCTGTAGCCCATTTCCTGCACACACCTGTGCACGGTGGCTCTGGATGTTTCTACTCCAGACTCAGTCCACTGCTTCCACAGGTCCCCCAAGGTCTGCAATCGGTCCTTCTCCACTATCTTCCTCAGGGTCCGGTCACCTCTTCTCGTTGTGCTGCGTTTTTTGCCACACTTTTTCCTTCCCACAGACTTCCCACTGAGGTGCCTTGATACAGCACTCTGGGAACAGCCTATTTGTTCAGAAATTTCTTTCTGTGTCTTACCCTCTTGCTTGAGGGTGTCAATGATGGCCTTCTGGACAGCAGTCAGGTCGCCAGTCTTACCCATGATTGCGGTTTTGATTAATGAAACAGGCTGGGAGTTTTTAAAAGCCTCAGGAATCTTTTGCAGGTGTTTAGAGGTAATTAGTTGAATCAGATGATTAGGTTAATTCGTTTAGAGACCCTTTTCATGATATGCTAATTTTTTGAGACAGGAATTTTGGGTTTTCATGAGCTGTATGCCAAAATCATCAGTATTAAAACAATAAAAGACCTGAAATATTTCAGTTGGTGTGCAATGAATCTAAAATATATGAAAGTTAAATTTTTTTCATTACATTATGGAAAATAATGAACTTTATCACAATATGCTAATTTTTTTAGAAGGACCTGTAGTTGAGACTGTTTTCCAAAGATGGCTCCTGTCTGTATACACGAAGTGGACTGTCTTCATAAAATATCTTCTTATTAAACGGTCTGTACACTTACAAAGTTCTCAATGCTTCGTTTTGTATGTAGGGACCCTCATTATGTTACTGTGTTCGTGTGGGGCTATTTTGAGTCTTGTTAGTGGTATAAACTAGTGATTTCTTTTTACTTAATAGATGCCCCCATTACTAGCGTTATACGCTAAACAGTTTTTAGAGATAAAACTCTTTACATTCGATTATCATGAAAACAAATCTCAGAGAACGGTTGACTAGGTACCAATGTTTTATTAGACCAAAGGTTCATTTTGCGCCGGAGTTCTCCTTTAATGCCTGGTTCAGATTACGCGATTTTGACTCCTAAAATCTTGTCGTGTCGTTGACGAGAAACATGTCAGACTACACGTTGCTTCCCGACCAGTCATCGCATGCCGTCTCACGCACACATACACACACTCACTCAAACCATAGACTAAAAAAATAGACTCAAACTCACTCGCTCACACTCTCATTTACACACAATCGCGCTCACTCACTCACACACGCGTAGCGCACTCTCGCTCGCCTTTCCACTGTACACGACATTCGCATACGATTGTCGCATTTCGCCCCCTAGTGTCAGTCGCACAGAACTTTGAAATTGGTCGTGAAGCAACCGTTACCCTCGGCTATTCACAATGGTAAAATTAATTAATGCAATGCATGCATGAATATATCCACACAAAACAAATGACCCTCAATATATCTAAAATAAAAACATGATAGATTTTATAGAGCTAATCACTATAAATATTGATTTAATAATTATAAAATATTTTTTTCGGCCATAATTATTAATAAACGACATTTTACAGAAATAGCATTACAGAATAACATTAAAGAGTTAAAATATTGGTAATTCTAGCCTCGTGCTCATAGTTTTGATTAGAATACATCACATCCGGTCGGCCGGTCACATACGGTATATTCGCAGAAGTTCAGATATTTCAACGGATCCAAAGCTCAAATCGGATCCGAATTTTCCGCATATGCATATAATCGGAACTCCCATCAGCTCCCGTTCGACTCTCAATTGGAAATTAATGATTTACGGTCCGACGGCTGTCGTGTGCAGTGGAAAGACGGCTTCACTCTTGACAGAACCTGTCGTGGAGGGCCGGAAAAAAAATTAAACATGCTAGTCTTTTTTATCGTGATGTCGTGAAGCATCGCAGACGCGGCGTCGGTTGTCGTCCACTCTTGCGTCCCGACGCCCGTTGTCGTTCACGAATCCTCACGACACCCTACATCAAACGGATCGTGCCAAAATTAGGCTAAAATCGTGTAATCTGAACCAGGCATAAGTGTGCCTGTATTTTTTTTTTTTTTTTTTTTTACAATTATCTGGTTCTACAAGTTCATGGTTCTATATCTCTTTTATGTGCCGTTTACACTACATAATGTTGAACTAAAAACTGAACTTTTTATGCATTGTTGCCATTCATAACACGACAATGGCATTTTGGGGGGCTAAAAACGCAAACTTTTGACACCAGGTTTCAAAGTGCACGTGTTTGAAAATAATACCGTTGTGAAAACAGTGACATGTAGTTTTTCTTTACAAAGTGACCTTGCCATCTACTGGCCTGGCATGCATGATACAGCGTTTTAAGTCCCTGCAGCTCCATGTGAACGGGATAATTTTGACAACGCGAAAAATGCAAAGGAAAAACTTTTCCGTTTTTAGTACATCATTGTCGTGTAAACTTACCCTTAGTATACTGTTAATAGTTTAAAGTCAAATGTATTGTTTATGTAGATTACATCACTGCTATTTAACAAAACTTACAAAATCAATCAGATTTTTTTAATTTGGAAAAATTCAGCGTTCTCTCTGGAAATCAAAATCACCATACAGCAGTGTGAACATCACTTTCAGTGTAATTTTAGTATTATTTATATGCTAGTAAAGTTGTTAATATTTTGATTAAATTTTTAGTTTAGATTTTAGTAAATCTTGTATGTGCTTTTCTCATTTCTCCATTTTTATTTAAATTTTTATTTTAGTTCTTCAAATTATTTCAGTTAGTTGCTAAAGCAACATTTCTAGATGTTTATTAACAAATACTGTAGGAGACATATATTAAACAACAGAAATTATGAAAAGGTTTATTTGTTGAAAAAAAAATATACAGTGATACGGTTGAATTAATTTTAAAACAAGCATGTAAATTACTTCATGTGAGTTTACAAAAGGACATAACAGATGAAGATCATCTCATGATTGTACACTAACTTTGTGTACAGAGACAAAATGGTCATACCCAGACAATATGAGGAACCGCAAATGTGTTGTATTTGATACATTAACCTGGAGAGAAAAGAAAGAAAAAAAAATCGTGAGATCTTGGTTGAGTGTCTTACTGTATCTGGAGATTCAAATCTTTGAGATGTAACTCACAGAAATATCATTAGCCTGTAGGCTGCTCTCTGTTTGCTCAAACTCTGAAACAGACAATATTCGCGTGAACGAAACTCAAAAGATTCGAGGAAGGAAAATAAATAACTTATTTTCAGACCTAATGTTACCTGTTTCTGCAACCGCTTCAAATTTATCAGCATCCTCTGATGTGCCCTTTTCTATTCTTAGCCTTTTAACTGAAATTAAATATAAATGTGAAGACATTACAATATGTTGTTACAACCATATTAAAGACAGAGAGCATTAGGATATAGGATAAGGATGCGTGCGTTTATATTATAAGGTGTATTTACTGTTGTAGCTGTGAATGGAGACAGTAAAAATGTTCATGTTATCTGGAAAGCGGATGATAAACTCTTGCGGAAACATGCCAGTTGAAATCCAGAACGTCTCTGTTTTTCTATAGAAATAAATAAAATGCATCAGTTACATCAAAATATATGTATTAAGTGTTGTGGTAACATTAGCTAAGTTAGCTGGCTTTTCTTCCATCAATCTACATACCCGTCGATGATGTTCTCCGGTGGATGATTCTCATCGCTTGATATAGTCTGCACAACCTGGGCTCCGTATGAACTTAAAGCAGCATCCAGCATTGTGAACTTTAGATTATTTACAGGTAACGTTAGATATAACTGTTATGGATATTTGTCCGAGGCAGGAGTTTTCACGGTGAGGCAATCCGAGTTGCCAAGCAACATGTAACGTTAATGTTAAGCCCGATGTGTCTCTGACTCATTTCCGCGAATCGGTTCAAATAACAACAGTTTGTTTTAAAGAACCGGTTCAAAAAGAAATTCAGCTGTTATATTTTTTCACGACGTAATTTACTTAGTGTTCAACGGATTGTCTGTGACAGTAGCAATATGCAGCGTGTATCCCAGTTCGTTTTAGCCGTGATTCGGATCATAAACAAGTAAGTAATTTAGAAACGTATATTTATACTGTAAAAAGTTTTTTTGCACAGAACACACCAGCCAAATCCGCGGTTCACTCCAGCTGCTCGGTTCGGGGTCGGTTCATTATCGAACGTCGTTCACGAATTGGACATATAGTGTCGCGTGATTTGAGCGTCATCAGCTGCTGGCATACATCAGTGGCGCACGTTGCACTTGGGAAATATTTTGCTATACGGTTTTATATTTAAAATACCCATGGCAAATGGTGCGGAAGATGTCATATTTCGTCGTGGGACGGGTCATGTGAGTATTGAAACATTTTAAAAGAGAATTTACGATGTAAGATTTAGCTAGACTCGCATGTATTTTAGATTCGTATTAAAATACCCGATTCTTTTGCTCGTTTGTTAGCATTTTGTTGGCTGCACATTTCGTCCAATGGTTCTAGTTTGCGGTTTTTGCGTTCTTTGACGTTGTGGTTTTGGTCTTACAATCAGTTGGAATAACACCGTCCAACAAAGATGTAGCATAAAGCATAACGTTACAGAAGAGTGGTTCATGATATCTTCTCTTTTTTTCAGAGTGATGATTCTGACATCTGGGATGATACAGCTTTGATTAAAGCATATGATAAAGCGGTTGCGTCGTTCAAGGTAATGACGATTAAAAGAGGTGTGACTATGCAGCTGATACAATGCCGTTTACTTTGCTTCTTCAGTAACCCTGCTGTTGTTTTGCTCCCGTTCCTCCTCAACTCACCAGAATGCATTGAAAGGAGAGGACAATGTGACACTTCACAAAAAAGATAACCCTGGAAAGAAGCGGAAAAACAACAAAAAGAGCAAAAGCAGAAAAAGATGTAACGCAGCACCTGATAAAGAGGTAATCTCGAACAGCGTCAGTACTTAAGTTGATTTGGAGTTCCAAATAATACAGGTGAACTGAAATGTGTTAACTTGTTACACAGTGGCAGGTTGGGGACTCCTGTTATTCTTTCTGGTCTGAAGATGGGAACTTGTACACTGCTACGATTTCCTCAATCGATCAGGAGAAGGGCACCTGTGTGGTCTTCTATACTGATTATGGTAATGAGGAGGAGCAGAACCTCAGTGACCTTCTGACAGAGGCATCAGATTTGGATGAAGACACTCAGAAAACTGCAGATGGATGTGGAGTATGACATTGCTATCAGTTAGACACTGTAGTCGTTTAAGAGATTAATGATGCAGATGTTTAATCTTCTATTTACTTTCCTAAATGCAGGTCAAGGAGGCTGAGTCTTCGACAGAGGAGAGTGATCGATCATTTACCCCACAGCAGTCCGGTCATGGGAAGCACAAATCTAAAGGCAGATCTCCCATGGGACCTCCATCGTGGATTCCTGGTTTCCCACCTGGACCCCCACCTGGACCGCACTTCCAAAAGGTGAATGTTAAAAATAGGTCTGTCGTGATTATTGATTAGTCAAGTCACATTTATTTATATAGCGCTTTCTACAATACAGATTGTTTCTTAGCAGCTTTACAGTGATAAACAGGAAAATAATTATTCAATGATCCAAACAGAATCCAGTTCGGCTGTATAGCAGCTATAAGAAGACAATAGTAAAAAGTTATTATTCAGTTGAAATCAGATCAGTGTTGATTCAGTTTGGTTCAATAACTGTGGAAAGTTAATCAATTATGGAAATGGTTCAATTCATCTATAAAGCAGCTCTGGATAAAAAGTTATGTCATCGTCCAGCTCAGTTCAGCTCTAATTCAATAGTGTCAGTGTGCAGTGCAGAAATGGAGAAGAAAAAAAACTTTGGGATAAACCAGGCTCAGTCAGGGGGCCAGTTCTCCTCTGGCCAGAAAAAAACTCTGATGCAGCCTGGAATCAGTGTTGTTTTTGGCAGCCCTTTTAGTTTTAGTCTTAGTCTTTTGGACGAAAATGCTTTTAAGTTTTAGTCACATTTTAGTCACTTATAAACTTAATAGTTTTAGTCAAGTTTTAGTCGACGAAAACACAAAAAGGTTTTAGTCAAGTTTTAGTCCATTTTAGTAAAAACAAAAATAGTCTTTAACAAATTCATTTAGGTCAAAAAGTATTGGAAATGGGCTTAGGTTTGACAGGTTGTAGCAAGTGTTGCAATTCATAAAACAACAGCTAACCTTAAAATCTTTGCATAATAAACTAGACTTTCTCATTGATGCAGATGCAGTGCTGCCATTGCCAAGCTGTACTTCATTGTCACATTGGGCAGAAACCTTTTATCCCCATATTTCAAGTTATAGTTTTTCCATGAATATTAAATGCTATTTTCACCAGTAATCACAGTAATAAAGGAATGGTTTAAAGTTTAAACAGCAAAAAAAATTGAGCTACTACAACATTACACACAGATAAAGTGGTAACAGTGGAATCACTGTTTTACTCCAAAAAAGCCAGGAATGAAAACATTCTTTCTTTGGCAATTGTGGCTTTATTTGAGAAATTGCTAAAGTGCAATGAACAACGTGCCCAAAATAAAAGCTATTGAGGAACACATAGGCTACTTATGATCTACAACTTGCACTTCAACTTGTCTGCCAGTGCAACAACAAGATGCATATTATTTGTAAACACAAACATCACACAACCCTGTCTATCTTTAACTTGTGCAAACTGCAAAGTTGCAAACATTCTGAAACAAAATAATAAAATAAATAAATAATACGGTGCATTGAACATAGGTTGTTAGGAATGCATACTTGAATATAAAGTATGAAACAAACATGACACTGAAGTGTGTTGAACATAAAAATGAATAAGACAATTCCTGAATACTGTAAACAATTTGGTCTTTAAATGGTTAGTTCGGTATTTTACACTTAAAGCCCTGTTTTAAGATCGTTTCTGATGAAATAGAACGGTTAAGATTGAAATTTGGACAAATGCTGTTGTCCCGAGAATTTTAGGTTTACCCCCCACCTACACAATGGTTGTCTATGTGCACTGGAACAATCATTCATAAAACGCATTAAACTTTAGTTTACAAATACGTGAAACTCACCGAGTGGTCAGGGATGTTCACTGATATGCTCACACAAAAATCGCTGCAAAAGATGCTTTCCAACAGGTTTTATCGTAGTTTTTGTCCGACTCCATTGACTTGACTAAACTACGATAAAACCTGTGTTGAATCTGGTGCGCGGGCGCGCGGCGGCCGGGTGCTGCGCGTTACGTTACCCAAAACAAGGATAGGAAGCGGCAGCATTGCTGATACTTTTTTTTTTTTTTAGCTCAATACAGACAGATTGCACGCAAAACAGGCAGAAATGACATGCATTGTGAACGTCAGACTTATTATCATTTTCGTTCCGTCTCGTCTCGTCAACGAAAACTCGAAAACGTCTCGTCATGTTTTAGTCACCTTAGAGCAGTTTTTAGCTAGTCATCGTCGCGTTATCGTCATAAAAAAAAAGTGCGTCAACGAAATCATTTCGTTATCGTCATCACTGACGAAAACATCATTGCCTGGAATTAAACCACACAAGTCATGCTGTGGATTAATCAATCATCTGATCATTTGATCTAATTGCAATTATTTGAGATGGCTGAAATAATTGTCCTGTTAAATTTTAATCACTTTTTGCCAACCAAATAAGTGAAATATAAGACCTTAACCCTTTCACGCGTACGATCACACCGGTGTGATCAATCTTGGCTGGTCCCTCCCTGGAGCGTACGATCACACCGGTGTGATTAGAACGGTCAGTGCATCACGTGATCAACTGCTAAATTCAAACGTGCTTTCGCGCGTTGGCTGCCGCTGAGCCAGAGACGGACGCACTCAGTGCTGTCATATATCACAACTATTGAGTGTTTTCAACCACATGTTTATTTTAGGTTTCAGACATTTAAATACACATAAGTACTAGCAAAACAATGATTTTGAGTTTGTAAAATACACACTGATGTCTATGGAAGCAGCAATAATAATCCTTTCCATTATAATAAGGCGACACATTTTATTCATATCAGATACACATTGTGTAAGTAGCTTTACATTTGACCCTATTCTTCTCCCAGTTCACCGGCCACTTACCGTATTTTCCGCACTATAAGGCGCACTTAAAAGCCTTTAATTTTCTCAAAAAACGACAGTGGGCCTTATAATCCGGAGCGCCTTATATATGGATGGAACACACGTTCACCAAGACGGGGAGACAGCGCCGGGCGACTTACGCCACTATCTGCCAATGGATCGTGGATGCCTGGGCTGATATATCAGTCTCAACTGTGATCCGCGCTTTCACGAAGGCAGGAATAATCTCTTTATTCAGCCAGCTCACATACCCGTATTTACTTCCTGTTTTCGGTCGAAGTCCACAGTGGTCGATTGTCGAGTTCGCGCGCGCGATCAAACCTCCTCCGTGTGTTCAACATCTGATTCGGATGAACTATCCATTTGAGCTGATATTCTCAGAACACCACACAGCACCGTCATCGGCTGACAGTCTGAGTCTCCACTGTTGCTGAGTTACCAATGATCGCGCGCGCGCACTCGACAATCGCCTACTGTGGACTTCAACCGAAAACAGGAAGAAAATACGGGTATGTGAGCTGGCTGAATAAACATCATTTTTATTCATATCTTTCACATTTACTGCAGTCAGATTCACCGTGTTCACTCACATGGCTGTGCACTTGTAATGACACATTAAGGTTGTTAAGAGGCTAAACGCAGGTTTAAAACTTGTCCCGTTTAAGTCAACAGGGTGCAAATTTTAAAAAGAGGATAACACGGTGTAGGCAACACCGGTTTTTGTCGTTGTTATCTGTACTGACAGCACTCCAAATTTACAAAAAATGAGCTCAATGTTAAAATTGACCGGAGTTCTCCTTTAACGTTTGAACAACGTTACCATGGGAGTGAACGGAGTTGTCAGAACGCTTAATAAAGTTTGACTTTATCTGACTGTTTTGTTGACATTCCCTTTAGCACATCTAGTGGATGCATAACGCAAACCCAGTCAAACGTTTGACTGCAGTTTCTTATGCGCCTTATAATCCGGTGCGCCCTATAAATGAAAAATGTTCTAAAATAGGTCATTCATTGAAGGTGCGCCTTATAATCCGGTGCGCCTTATAGTGCGGAAAATACGGTACTTTCATGTATTTTGTGAGAAGTGGAGGAATTGAGGTGTTGTAAATCCAACAGATCCGATTCTCTGAACTGTAAAACAAACTAAAATGGCGCCGCCCATTGTGCATACAGCTCAACTAACGCGATCGTTATAAAGATGTTTATAAAACGGTTAGTTCCAATCCTTGATTCTGATTGGTCAATAGCTGTGCTTTATTCACGATAAAACACGGCTATGACCGCTTCACCCAACGGTTCTATGTATCACTACACAACACCCCTAGCAACCACTCTTAGCAACTTAAACAGATGTTTCATCTCATTGATATTGTTCATTTAAAGCTAGAGCAGAGCATTGTGAGAGATCGAGTAAGCGAGTGTACCTGCATTTACAGTAGACGTAGCATTTTCCTTCAGGTCAGTCCTATATTCATAATAAAAAAATGCGTTTGAATGTCCGCTGCATATTTTGTCCTTTTAACAGTCATGGGGTTTTCCGTGCATAACGTTAGTCATCTGTCAGTTGCGTCTGTCTTCTCCGTGATCACAAGTTCGAGTCCTTTCAAAAGCCTTCTCTACAGACTCACTCACTCACTCACTCATAAAGACAGTCTTTGCCGCCATCTATTGGCGAAATAATATATGTAACTTCTGTTGCTGTTCACGTTCCGGGACTATTTTTTCCAGCGGAAGGCAGGCTTTTAGTGATTTTACTTCATGAAAGTTGCATAGATGCATATTTTTCGGCTTTAATATTTTTATTGTGTGGCAACCGTTTTATAAAAGCAATAAGGTACTCGAGGCAAGTGCTGTATCGTGAATAAGTAACGGCTGAAGGGGTTGCAGGCACTCCGCTTCGCGTCGTGCCTAACAACGCCCTCCAGCCGTTACTTATTCACGATACAGCACAGCCTCTCGTACCTTATTGCTTACTTAAACAACAAAACCCATAGCCTGGCTGCGCCCTCCTACGCACTTCCGCTCAATTTCATTTTCCTTCAGTACTACGTCTGGGATTCTGCTGTAGACTTTGGTTTTCTCCGATCAATTTTTTGTAGGGCCAATCAGCGAACTGAGGGAGTGGCTGAGAACGATGACGTCGTGCGTTATTTTGAGTTGTAGTTCAGTAATGGCAGCGGAGAAAGATGCGAGCGAAGCCATTCGGTCCGTTGTAGCAACACTGCCAAATATTAAGAAGTTAAAGCCGGAGCAAGAACAATCTTTGCTTAGTTTTGTTTTGGCCATGATGTTGTGGCCCTCCTCCCCACTGGGTTCGACATACATCACGAGCAAACGTTAGCGATTGGTGGCAGATCCAGAGTGACTCTGGGCAGATCCAATAGTTTTAGACTTCAATAGAGTACCCGCCTACAAGGAAGTTAACGATTGTCAATGGAGCGGTGCCAGACTCTCTGTACAAATGAAATGAACCGGGTAGAACCAGGCTACAAAACCCATCCACTTGCACATATTTGACAATAGGAATATCAGTGTTTCATGCTGTAGCTAATACATTTGTGAATATTTTTAATAAAAAAGGAAAAATGACATAAAAGGAGATCATCACTCATTCAGCGCTGTGTTGTGGTTGCACTGTGTCACGTGACAAGCAATGACGCGTCACCATGGAAACATTAAAGTGACAAGTTCTAAATAACGGTCGCCTTGAAAAACTCACGCTGGGGGGTCAGTTAGAATATTTTAAACATACGTGTGAAAGGGTTAAAGGATTAGTTCACCTTAAAAAAAACTTTTGCTGATAATTTACTCACCCCCATGTCATCCAAGATGTCCATGTCTTTCTTTCTTCAGTCGAGAAGAAATTAAGGTTTTTGATGAAAACATTCCAGGATTTTTCTCCATATAATGGACTTCAATGGGCCCCAAACGGTTCAAGGTCCAAATGACAGTTTTAGTGCAGCTTCAAACAAAGGGCTTTAAACGATACCAGACGATTAATAAGGGTCTTATCTAGTGAAACGATCTGTCATTTCAAAAATAAATAAAAAAGTTAGTTTTATAAGCACAAATGCTCGCCTTGCTCTGTTCTGTGATGCGCGTTCGTGACGTCACGTAGTACGCAATTACGTTGAAAAGGTCTCACAGAACAGAGTCATCACAGAACAGAGCAAGGCAAGCATTTGTGCTTATAAAACGTGAATTTTTTTATTTGTTTTTGAAATGACAGATCGTTTCGCTAGATAAGACCCTTATTCATCGTCTGGTATCGTTTAAAGCCCTTTGAAGCTGCACTGAAACTGTCATTTGGACCTTGAACCGTTTGGGGCCCATTAGAGTCCATTATATGGAGAAAAATCCTGGAATATTTTCATCAAAAACCTTAAAAAAAAATTTCGACTGAAGAAAGAAAGATATGGACATCTTGGATGACATGGGGGTGAGTAAATTATCAGCAAAAGTTTTTTAAAATTGAACTAATCATTTAAAGAAATGCCAATGTGTGATATTGTGTGTCTATTTCTGGTGTGGTAGGGAGAATCAGCCAATGATAATCTGGAGTAAAAAATAAATCATATAAAAAAAACACTTACAACTATGGTCAAAGATCTTCCTTCATGCAAAATGAAGGCTTGTGTGTTTAATCAGACTGCGTTATATTGTATTATCATATAAATAATGATTGTATAAAAATTATTAATTTTCACAGAATTAAAGTAAATCATATGGGCCTGTTTCATTATAAATTGTATTATTATAGCAGCCTTGCTTCAAATGCGGAACTTATGCGTGCATATAGCCTATTGGCCTTAAGACTTGGTTCTCTCTCTAGACGGATGGCAGACGATCAGAAGGTCCTGGACATTTCTTCCCTGGATGGCCTCCCATGATTCCACCCGGTCCCCCGGTAAGAAGCAGCTGGAGACCTTTCAGATCTATTAACTTTTTCTTTCATGAAAAGTGATCTAGTAAAAACATTGACAGCTTTTCATGGGGCAAATTAACTTTTTTATTTATTTATTTTTAATTGTTGGTCCAGATGATCCCACCGCCTCCACCAATGAGTCCAGACTCTCTAGAGGATGACGAGGCTTTGGGCAGTATGCTTATTTCCTGGTACATGAGCGGCTATCACACGGGATACTATTTGGTACAGTTATTATTCTTGCTGTTCACAAACATCTTTTTGTGTACCTGGTTGTTTTCTTTTTATTATCAGAAAAATCTCTCTCAAACTCTTCTGTCTCTTACACAGGGTTTAAAACAAGGTCGAGAGACAGCAACATCTAAGAAGTCACATCGGAAATGAAGATACAGTGGTTAGTTTTTTTAGCCCTATAATTTCACAGATTGTTGCTAAAATTTTACCTTTCACAAATTACTTTAATTTTAGACTTATGGTGGAATTGGGTTGGGTAAATATTCTACGGTGTATAAATAATAAACTCAATATGTTAACATTTAAGTGTTTCTGTATTTTATGAATTTTACTGAATTATTACTTTTTTCACCATATAGAGCGAAATATGAACATGATGCTGCAGCAGATTTGATTCACTTTTCATTTTTTGTATTCTTTGTAAATAAATAAATGAATTAAAAGTATTGTTCTTTTCCAAAGTGTGTTTGGTAAAATTATATTTAATTCAGATTTCATTAAAGGGATAGTTCACCCAAAAATTAAAATTATGTAATTTACTCACTTTCATGTTGTTCCAAACCTACGGAGCCCCTAAAGCAGGGGTGTCCAAACTCGGTCCTGGAGGGCCACTGTCCTGCAGAGTTTAGTTCCAACTTGCCTCAACACACCTGCTTGTAAGTTTTTAGCATGCCTAATGACCTTCAACAGGTAATTAAGACCTTGATTAGCTGTTTCAGGTGTGTTTAATTGGGGTTGGAGCTAAACTCTGGAGGACAGTGGCCCTCCAGGACCGAGTTTGGACACCCCTGCCCTAAAGGGGCCTTTGCAAAAAAATAAAGACTATCGCGTGCGCACGCGATAGTTTCTCGTGCGCACGCGATACGTTTCTCAAATGCTCTTGTTTTCCTCATAGTAATGAGAGTGACGCAAATTGTACGCAAACCGGAAATTGTAATGCATGCGCACGAGAAACGTATCGTGTGCGCACGCAATAGTCTTAATTTTTTTATTTAAGCAAAGGTCCCTTTAAGGGCTCTGTATAAACCATCCCCAAACTGTTTTTTTTTTTTTTTTTGCTGAATGTGACTTATGTGGCTGATGTCACCTCCAATGTGTAAAATCATTTCATTACATAATTCTTAAATTCAAGGACATAAAAACTTGTCTTTATTATTTCAACCAGCCCATTTAAATTGCAATTGTAAATGTGACAACTTGTAATGTTTAATGTGGTTGTTCTCAACCCTGGGGCTTTAGATGACTTAAAATGATTTAAAATGAAACGAAAACAAGCATTATATTAAATGCAATTAAATCAAGCTATTTATTATTTTAATGTTAACAAAAAAAAGTATTCTTTGAGGAACCAGGCTTCCCACTGTATATATGAAGTTGCATAAATTTAAAAGTGTGATTTCTAAACTTGGTAAAGTCATGTATATTAATAAAATCATAAACCTCCGAGACACTCAAGACTCGCATACATTTTACTATCAAGAGAAAATTCCCCAAAGTGCTCTTGCCAGAATTCACTGTTCATTATACTTATTGGATGGTAATACTTCTACCCCTTTGAGGTACTTGTTTTATTCGGTTTAAGGTTTTAACCAAGTAAATCCAAATTTAGTTTTAAGGTTTTTAGAAAAAGAAATATTTTTTTATTTTTGATTAACTAAACCTGGGTCTCACACCATGAATATAGCCACAGAAGCTAGCTGGCATGGTGTTAAAAGGGAATAAAATAAAACTGTTATTGACACTTTATAATGAATATACAACAGTGGGGTGGACTAAAATAACCCATAAAAGGGAGTATACCGGTGAAATAAGGGGAAGATGGAGAGAGAAGCGCGCCAGCCCCACCGATGTTAGCCAGTCGGTGCTGATCCACTTGTCCGTGCGACACTTGTCGCGCCGCGCTCCGCTTTATTCCTATGGGTGACGTCACGTGACTTCGTCGCGCCCGCAAAGCATTCCGGGAAGGCGGCACTTCATTTTGAAAATTGTTGCGCGTCAAAAAGCTGGGCGATGCCCATCTTTATGCAAATTAAGTCCGTTGAACACGACGCGTCTATCCAATAGAAGTAGAGCATATGGAGACGGAGGGAAGTCTCTCGCAGGTCCTCTGTTCTAATAGGCAACATTTCCCGCTCGGCCAAAACCACGCCCATAGCGGCAAAACAGAGGAACGCCCATCAACGTACAAATGTAGGGAGGCGTCGCGACACCACGCGACAGTCGTGTCGGACAAGTGGATCAGCACCGTCACAGCTACCTCTGCCCGGCAAGTTCAACTTTACCAATACAAGTGAATGGCCAAGATGGATGAAGCGTTGAGCGCTACAGAATTGCATCTGGTTTGGATAAACAGACAGAGGAATATCAGGTGAACACTTTCATGTATGCGGCAGGAGATGATGCCAAAGATATACTGTATGTGTTACCATTGACTGATGCTCAGAAGAAATCATATGCTGCCGTTACGGAGGCTTTTAACAAGCAAGAGGAATGTTATCTTTGAACGAGCGCGATTCAACAAGCGGAATCAAGAGCCGGGAGAGAGCGTTGAGTCATTTATTACAGCTCAGCATACGCGCATACGCTATGCCAAGTTGTCTGAAACTTTGCAGTTGGATGCTGATTTGACGCTAGAGAAAGCAATAACGAGAGTGAGACAAAGCGCGGCCGTGACAAAACAACAGCCAATACTGCAAGGAGTAGAGCAGCCGATAGGACACGTTGAGGCTATACACAAGAAGGAAAGGAATTCACAAAAGCCACCTAAAATAAAGGTAATTCATTACATTTTAATTAGAATTAAGAATCACCCCTGGAAAGACTGCCCAGCTAGAGATGCTGACTGCAGGAGATGTCACCGGAAAGGGGCATTTTGCAAAAAAAATGTAGGTCGGCTGGATGGGTCCATAACATAACAGAGGGGCAGTCAGAGAGTTATGAGGATGGTGATTTTTGCTTTTCTTGGAGAGGTGTATAAACAAGGAACTGATTGATGGAATGAACTGATTGTGCTGAATGGGGAAAACACAGTTTTCAAATTGGACACAGGGGCTGCTGTCACAGCAATTCCAAGCAGCAGTTTCTCCATTGAGAAATATGGGGTGTTGCAGCAGGGGAAAAGTGCTGTTCAGACCAGGCAATCAAAGGCTGGATGTGAAGGGACGGTTTAAAGGGCGACTAAGTATCAAAAATAAAACTACAGAACAGGACATTTATTTAGTTGCTGGACTGTCCAAGCCCTTATTGGGGCTCCCTGCAATTGAAGCCCTCACACTAATACAGCATCTCCACACTGTACAAGAGCAACAGGAGGACATTATAGCAGAATATTCCACAGTGTTCTCTGGCTTAGGCAAATTAAAGCAACACCAAGGACCTTTTCCTCTGCGGTCGCCCTACAGGTTGGCAGCTGAATTGTCCATTACCGCTGTCGTAAATAATTTAGCCTAGCGCAGCCTACTGTCGCACGCGCACACTCGTTGTTTATCCAGCACCGGCTTTGGAATCAACAATGGCCACAGATAAGGTAGAGTATGACGTATGCCGTAAAGCAGTCGAATTTTGTAGTTCTTTTTGTGCTCCGGTTACTACCCGAAACCCAAAGTTACATAGTGCAAGTAAAAGCGATACAGCAGACGTGTCATTTAACCTATTGTAAGTCGATGTACCATCACAAGGGTCTTGGAAATATATTATGAAGGTTGAAGAACTGCATAGTGTTACTTTAAAAGAGCCATATAAAATTGAGTTGGCGCCAGCTGCTGTCCCATATGCTCTATCTTCTCCACGCCGTGTGCCACTGCCGATGAGAGATAAGGTGCAAGCAGAGTTAAAACGCATGGAGGATATGGGAGTGATTTTTAAAGTGACTCAGCCCACTCCATAGTGTGCGGGCATGATGGTAGTGCTCAAGGAAAGATACGGTTGTGTGTGGATTTGACGCACCTAAATAGGTGGGTGCGGAGAGAACGTCACATCCTCCCTGCTGTAGAGCAGACACTTGCTATGCTTGCTGGTGCCAAAATATTCACAAAGCTGGACGCTACCTCCAGCATTTGGCAAATTCCGTTGTCAAAGGAAAGCTCACTTTTGACAACATTTATCAACCCATTCAGGTGATATGTGTTCAACCGTCTACCATTCGGGATCTCATCAGCCCCACTTTCAGCGTTGCATGTCGCAAATGCTGGAAGATTGTGAAGGAGTTGTGTGTCATGCTGACGACATATTAGTCTATGGTGAGGACATGCAGCAACATAATGAGACTGCATCAGGTCCTTAAGAGACTGAGAGACGAAGGCTTGACTTTAAACGAGAAGTGTGTGTTTGCAACCGACAACATGATTTTTCTGGGGCACCGAGTCAGGGCAGATGGTGTGGCACCAGATCCAGATAAAGTCAGGGTGATCTTGGAGATGCCTGAACCAACTGGAGTGGATGGAGTAAGGAGAGTAATGGAAATGGTTAATTACCTGGGTAAGTTTTTACCCCACCTTGCATCCTACACCCACCCACTCAAAGATTTGCTCAGTGAGAAAAATGGATGGTGCTGGGGATCACCACAAAAGGAGGCTTTTAAGAATTTAAAATCAGAACTGAGTTCACAGCGTGTGTAGGCATCATACTCCCCAAAAGCAGAGACGTGTGTCCGCTGACGCCTGTTCCTTTGGCTTGGGGGGCGTTCTGAATCAAAACCAGGCAGATGGAACATGGAAGCTGGTTGTGTTCATCTCTAGGAGCCTGTCTGAAGCAGAAAAACATTATGCCCAGATTGAAAAGGAGGCTTTAGCAGCCACCTGGGTGTGTGAACGGCTGTCGTCATACCTCCTGGGCCTGAAATTTAGACTGGAGAGTGGAGACAGATCACAAACCACTGCTCTCGTTGCTAAGCACCAAAGCACTAGAGCTTTGGAACTACCTCCACGAATACTGCGGTTTTGTCTGAGGCTGATGAAGTTCACTTTTGACATAGTGCATGTGCCTGGTATGCAAATGATAACCGCCGACACATTATCCAGAGCTCTAATGAAACGCACATTCGTGGAGAAGGAGAATGAGAGTGACGTTAAGGTGTTTGTGGATTCTGTAATTCAAGCCCTCCCAGCTACAGAAAAGAGGATGAATACAATCCAATAATCAAGAACCAGAAGGCTGATCCTA